CCGTCACAGCATAAACCCGCGTCTAAGATACAAGGATACTACCCTAGAAAAAACCAATGAGTTCACATAATCGGAATGACGTTTGACACAAAGCTAACGTGGAAAAGTCTCTTGGAATGACTCTTGACACAAAGCTAACGTGGAAAAGTCACATTGCTAAAATGGCACAACGAGTCTCCAATAGACTGAATGTACTGAAGCGTCTTGCTGTAGTGTATGGGGCTGTGCGCGCTCAACTCTAAACACCACTGACTAGATGTTTATTCAGCCAATAATGTTGTATTGCTGTGAACCACTCATAACAGCCACAGAGGTGACTCTCAAACCCCTCGTTACTCATTACAGCCACAGAGGCGACTCTCAAACCACTCGAGCAGGCACACAACCAAGCATTACGACTAATTACTGGGGGGATAAAATCAACACCCATTGGTGCAATGCTCCTAGTTACGTGAAGCACCACAATAGGTTCTTTATCAAAGAAAAGGCCTTGATCCTGTTGAGAAGCTACTGTCATTCCCATGGACAAATTCTTCAGCTCCTATGAGAATAGACCAAGACATCTGAAAATCAATCTGGTCTAATACAGAAAGCGTGGAACTGAAGAAAGCGTTACAAATCGATGATCAACCAAACCCCTTTCTCTCCCCATGAATCCATTAGCAGACATTGATGTAGTGTCCTCTTCCCATGAACCCATTAGCAGACATTGATGTAGTGTGGTGCACCCAACTGCTCGACTTCTTCAGGACTCCAGAGCAAATGCGCCATTTTTCAGGAAATCACAGCCCTTGAGACAATCAATGTCATAGATCAATGGCTCCAAGTCTTCACTGACAGAAAACCAAGCCAACGTTGGTGCACTCTTCACTGATGGGTCATACATAGAAAACCAAGCAAACATGGTGCAGGTGATCTATTCTGAACGCTTCTCTTTCTACGCAGCAGCGGGACATAATAGATCCGCTGGAAGGAGAAATAGAGGCCATTAGGATAGCACTATGCCAATTCTGTTGCCTAAATACGAATATTAGGATAGACTTGCCAATTATGTTGCCTGGATACGAAATTCATCAAAACGGTGATACTTTCGTACTCATAGTCAGCAATAAACTCTATTGGTAACAGAGAGACACCCAAAACAGCTGAGATAAAGGAATGTAAGATAGCCATCCAAAACAGCTGAGATAAAGGAATGTAGAAAACTGAAACACCCAAAACAGCTGAGATAAAGGAATGTAGAAAACTCTACTCAAAACAGCTGAGATAAAGGAATGTAGAAAACTCTACCCTGCTGTGTGAGAAAAACAAAATAGTGGTCCTACAATGGATTCCTGGTCTGAGACAGAAAAACAAAACAGTGGTCCTACAATGGATTCCTGATCAACGGTAATTAAAGGCAATGAGCTTGCTGACACACTTGGTAAGAAGGGGACAACGATTTTGAAATGCATGGCCCGGCCGATGTCTTTCCACAGAGGCCTTAATCAGAAGAGAATTCCAGACCTCAAGGTGCAAGACAGTTGGCACTCTCCGATATAACCGACTGGCCAGGAATCGAAGCCGTTGCTAGAAGCTCGAACAAAGGAGAAACAGTGGACAGTGGCACTCTCAACATACCCGACTGGCCAAGAATCGAAGCCGTTGCTGAGTTTAGAGTGGCACTCTACCACATAGCCGAATGGCCAAGAATCGAAGCCGTTGCTGAGTTTAGACTTTGGCCAAGAATCGAAGCCGTTGCTGAGTTTAGACTACGTACTGGACACGATTGCCTGGCAAAACACCTTCACAGATAGAGAGTATACACTCAACCCACATGCCCTCTGTGTAACCTACTTGAGTATATACTCAACCCACATGCCCTCTATTTAACCTGCAGGAGGAAATGGAGAAGACCCACCTGATTCGGATCCAGCATAAAGACAACGACGGAAAGCCAAAGATACTGGGAAGAAAGAAGACAGCTAAAGGAAAGCCAAAGATACTGGGAAGCAAGAAGACTGCTAATGTCTGCTATTAATTAACTGCTATAAATGTACCCACCACCCTTGGGGAAGCTGAAGTCAAAGTTTCGCTAATGATAAAAATATCAAAGCCTGCCATTTGAAATAAAAAATGTACCCCCCCCCTTCTTGGGGGAAGCTGAAGTCAAAGATTTAGACCCCCCCACCCTTGGGGGAAGCTGAAGTCAAAGTTTAAGGCACCCCCCACCCATGGGGGAAGCCGAAGTCAAAGTTTAAGGGCTAATGATAAATATCATAAAGCCTTGCCATTTTGAGAACAGACAAACGTTGGTGCAGGTGTCTATTCTGAACTCTTCTCTTTCACGCAGCAACGAGACAGAATAGATCAGCCTTGGAAGGAGAAATAGAGGCCATTAGGATAGCACTATGCTAAT